GGCCCCTTCAAGATGGATGGACTTCAACTCCCAGAATTCCACAGCCAGCTTGAGCTTGGTGCACCTTGAAGGTGGGTGGATTGCATGGAATTCTGGGGATTGTAGTGCCCTCCTCTTGAAATTGCCACGCTGATTTGAACAATGTGGGTGGGAAATTAGAAGCATATTCAGGTTCAGTGAGCGCGTGCTCTACATTTAGGAAAGCCCATTTTTGACTCAGTTACTTACCTTCTGCTGTATCAGCTTGTTCTAAAAAACAGGAAAATAAAGCGCAGGAAAAGGCAGCTCACCAGAACTAGCGGTTCAGGTGAACTGGTAGAATCCTACCTCTGAGTGTCTTATTTTTCTCCATGGGATTGTTGATATGAATGGGCTTTTAAAAAAAAGGATGGCAATACAGGTAGTCCTCGATTTACGGCCAACATTGAGGCCAACATTTCTGTCGCTTAAGCGAGACATTGAGTTTCACCCCCTTTTCTGATCTTCCTGGCGCCCCTCTGTTGTTAAGCTAGTTGGCGAACCTGGCTTCCCCCGTTAACTTGGTTTGTCCGGAAGGTGGCCAGAGGGGATCACGGGACGTTGCAATTGTCGTAAATACAAGCCAGTTACCAAACGTCCAAAACTTTGATTACATGACCATGAGGATGCTGCAACGGTCGTAAGAGTGAGAACGGCTCATTTGCATTTCCATCGTAACTTCGAACGGTCAATAAACAGATGGTTGTAAATCAAGGATCATCTACCCCCGGTGTTCTCTTTGGCTGTTTTCTTTCTGATCTGCCGCGGGTTGGAAAATTCCTAATTCTTCTTCCTTTTTTTTTTTCCCCTCCTCAGTACTTCATCCACAATAGCAAGAAATTTACTCTCAGCCAACTGGTTAATCTTCTCATTTCTTATGCCCGCTTGAATTTCCAGCCAAGCAACAAAGAGGACTTTTACACCAAGGTGATTCTTTGTGTGTTGTCTGTTTTGTCAGTCGCGAGGTCTTGGGGCTGCTCACAGACTGTGGATGAAGCTGGAATGAAACCTAGGTGTTGAAAATGTTTTACTGATTAAAAATACTTTAGGTAGAACCAATACATAGCTATAGCATACCATAGTATTGTACAGTATAGTATAGGAATCGGCAACATTAAACACTCACAAAGGTCCACAAACATCCTACCTGGAAGCACCCCTGTTCAATTCAGTCCAGTTTCCCCACCATAGAGTCTCCTCCTAGCGCGGCATCCTTTTTCCTCTGCTGACCAGAAATCCGGTACCCCCACCATAGAGTCTCCTCCTAGCGCAGCATCCTTTTTCCTCTACCTGTCCTAACCGAAAGCCCATTCAATCGTGGAGCCCATCGGTGGCAGGGAGCCGCAGCAGAGGGATTGAAAGAGCCACATGCGGTTCCGGAGCCACAGGTTGCTGATTCCTGGTATAGTACAATACTTTATAGTATAGCATAGTATACTATACTATACGATAGTATTGTGCATTATAGTACAGTACTGTAGAGTACTATATTATAAAGTATGCTATAGTAAAGTATGCTATAGTACAGCGTAGTATAGTATTGTATAGTACATTATATTTTATAGTATTATTTAGTATATAGTATAGTATGGTATTCTAGGGTACGTATTCTATACTATAGTATTGAAGTGTATACTGTAGTACAAAGAAGTGTAGTATTGTATTATATATAGTACAGTAGAGCACAGTTGTAATAATGTATCGTGTACACAGTATTGTATTATATTGTATAGCATAGTATTGTATAGTGCTGTGTTTCCGTGAAAATAAGACCTGGTGTTACATTAATTTTGGCTCCAAAAAATGCATTAGTGCTTATTTTCCAATTGGGTTTTATTTTCAGGGAAACAGTATTATATAGTATAGTATAATATTATATAGTATGGTATAATATTGTACAGCATACTGTAGTATTTTATCGTATAATATATTGTATAGTATTGTTTAGTATTATATAGTATGATATAGTAAGGTATTCCATAAGATATATTGTACAGTACAGTATTGTATTCTATACTGTATTATACAGTAGTATTGTACAGTGCGTACAGTACTGTATAGTATATACAGTATTGTATAGTATTATATTGTATACTGTAAAATTGTGTAGTATGATATAATGTATAATATACTGTAGTATTGTGTTGTGTATAGTATAGTATAGTATATTGTATAGTATAGTATAATATTATATAGTATTGTATAGAATACCGTAGTATTGTATTCTACAGTATTGAATAGTATATTAAGTATTATACTATGTATACTAGTATACTATAGTACGGTACTGTATAGTACAGTACAACATTGTATACAGTAGTATAGTACTTTATTGTGTAGTATTGAATAGTATTGTATAGTATAGCATTGTACAGTATTGTATAGTACAGTGCTGTATAATACTGTTTACTATAGTATTGTGTAGTATAGTATACTGCAACATAGCATAGTATCGTATTGTATAGTATTGCATGGTATAGTATAATACAGTGCAGTATATATTGTGTTGCACTGTTTAGTATTTTATAGTATACTGTAATGTAACATAGTATACTGTAGGATAGTATTGTTTAGCATGGAATTGCACAGTATTGTATAATATTGAATTGTATTGTTTAATCTTATATTGTATAGTCTTGTCTTAAATAGAACAGAACAGGAGGTAGAACACCAATTTCGTCTAGAGGTGAGGGTGCTAGCATGGAAACCAGGCGACTGGGAGTTCTAGTCCTGCCTTAGCCATGAAAACTCACTGGCTGAGTTTGGGCCAATCACCAGGCGGACTGGGAGTTCTAATCCTGCCCCAGGCAGGAAAGCCAGCTTGGTGGCTGTGTGCCAGCCTTTCTCATCTCAGCCCAACCTACTTCATAGGGTTGTTGTGGTTGGGATTAGGCCACTGCTGGGTCGTAAGTGCGAGGACCCGTCGTCACTGTCTTTTTTTCTTTTTTTCAACACCATTGTAACTTGGACCAAGTTGGTCATTAGGTTTCTCTTGTGTGACCGTTTCGGCTTAGAATTAAAAAAAACAACAACTGGGAGGGGACTTTGGAGGTCTGAGGAATCCCAGAGTTGGAGGGGACCTTAAGAGGTCTTCTAGCCGAACCCCTGCCTAGGGGCAGGAATTCCCCGGTCCATCTAGCCATTGATCCGACAGGGAGGGCATCCCTTCCCTCGATTAATTCCCCTCCCTCAACCCTTCTCCGTCTTTTCTTTCAGAGCCACCACATCCTGGACGGTCAGCTGGGCAGTCTCAACCCTTCCCTGCTGATCGACCTGGTCTGGTCGTTGTGCGTCTTGCAGCAAGCAGAAGCGGTCCATTTCCAGATGGTTTTGCTGCCCAAATTTTTCTCCAGTTTCTTTGGTATGTAAGAATGGAAGTCCGAGGATGGGTTTCGGGGCAGAGGTGGGATTCAGGTTTCGGTTTGGAGCGGTTTGGGCTGTTTTTTGGCCATTTGGGGGCTATTTTCCAGGCTGGCTTGGAAACGGCTAAAAACTGGCCAAAAAAGGCCCCACAAACAGCCCAATAACAGCCATTTTTCGGGCCATTTTTCAGCTCGTATTCGGCCATTTTCAAGCTGTTTTCCAGGCTGTTTATGGCCCTTTTTCGGGTGGAAAATGGCCCCCCCAAATTGGCCAAAAACGACCCGGAAAACAAGAGTGACATTTGTATACGGGCAAATAGCTCAATTTGCGAAAGGGGAGTTGCGTGTGCTGAGCCTCCTTTTGTGGGGTCTGGTTTTCCTCTCTCCCTCTTCCCAAAGCCGGGCCAACTGACTGCAAAGGATTCACCACAGTGGTTGGAAATGTTTCCGGCATGGTGGTAGGGAAGGAAGGAAGGAAGGAAGGAAGGAAGGAAATAGAAAAAGGGCAGGAGAGGGAGGGAGGAGAGGAAGGAAGGGAAGGAAGGAAGGAAGGAAGGAAGGAAGGAAGGAAGGAAGGAAGGAAGGAAGGAAGGACAGAAATAGAAAAAGGGCAGGAGAGGGAGGGAGGAGAGGAAGAAAGGGAAGGAAGGAAGGAAGGAAGGAAGGACAGAAATAGAAA